GCGTGGGTTTCCCCTGCGGCTGCTGTTTCTCAGCTTCCTGACGGGATCCTTTAGGACAGTCTCTCAGGTCTGGATGTGATCCTCGCATCTTCCATAGTCGTAGTGACGGCGCGTGGTTGGGGTAAGACCCCACTGGAGGCCACTCGTCCGACTGCTGGAGACAAGCTGCCGTCTTAGGCCAGCGGAAGTTAAGTCAAAGTCAACGGAGACTGGGGACCGTGAGACCAGGCGGCACGTGTTGGGCTGGGTTTTCCTTTGGTTAGGTTTTGACAGCCCTACTAATAGTTCTTTCTAAATCCTGCCCCTCAGCTGGGACTTTCACGGTTACCAATTTTAGATTTAACGTACTGAAATGTAGATCCTATTTTATATAAAAAATAACTAAAAATTAGCTCATTATGTTATAGTAATGCATGCCACCGATTGGGGACTCTCTTTGGGCTCTCCCTGGTGCCACTTTTTGGCCGCAGCCTTCTCCCAGATTTCCTAATAGGACAGGAAGGCTCTTGCTCTGTGCCTCCCCTCTTGGACGCTGCCACTGTGTCACCCTCTGGTGAGTTTTAACTCAGTCCTGTCCCCACCTCTGCCTGCCTGGGGTTGCTATGAAGAATGAAACAGTCATCGGGAACGTACTCTGTAGATCAGAGAGCCCTGATCAAATAGGAAGGGCACAGCTGCGTGTGTCCGAGTGGGGTTAGGCACCTTTGCTTTTGTTTAGAGTAAACTGAGGCAACCTCACGTCACCTCCATGACCAGGTCCCTCACCTGTGGCTGCTCATCCTTCCCCTCCTGACCTTTCCAGACAGAGGCATCGGGGCGCGTCCCCAGCTGCCCGCCTGCAGGGTGGCCTTGGGGATGTCCCAGGCCTCTGGGCTGAGGGACTTGCTTTTCTGAAAGCTCCCAGCCGGGTGGCAGGGGCCCTGGCACTGCCATGAGCGTGCTGACCTCTGTGTTTCTGTTAAAGATTTACGTGCACCTGAAGGAAGGCGGGGGCCCCGATGGCCTGGACACCCTGAAGAATAAGCCGCAGCTGCACGGCGCAGTGGCCCGGAGCCTGTGCCGGAACGCGGCCGGCAAGAACTACATCATCTTCACGGGGCCCAGCATCACCAGCTTGAGCCTCTTTGAGGAGTTTGAGAAGCAAGGTCTGTCGCGGGGGCACCGGCGGAAGCAGGGCCAATCTCCCCTACGGAAGAGGTGGAGGGGCGGGTGGAGGGACACGAGTGGAGCCGCCAGCACAGACCCCCAGAACGCCAGGCAAGGAGGGGACGGGTGCGTCTCAGCCACCTGCCTGCCCAGCCCTGCTGGGCTGCAGGGACTTCTGGTGAAGGAGTCACAGGTGCATGGTCTGGGGAACGTGTGGGCCCAAGCACTGCCCAGTGTGCAGGGCATTTCTTTGTGTGTCCTTCGCTGTAGGGCTGTGGCCATCAGAGGTGTTCCATGGGCACAGCTCCTAGGAAGGCCCTGGGACGTTCCCTGCACTCACCACCCTCTAGAGCGTGGGCCGCTCCCAGCTGGCAGATGAGTTGTGCAAAGACAGGGAACGTGCAGGGGCCTCAGACAGGCCCCTGGGTGCTGAGATGCCCAGTTCACTCGCTGCAGGGCCTGGGCCAACCTCCCGTGGCTCTAGTGGAAATAGGGGCCATGGAAGGAAAAGGTCTGGGCTGGGCCTGGGAGCCCGTGGCCAGCTGCGTTTGTCCTGGCTCTGCCCCATGTTGGGGACGTAGATCCAGTCCACTCAGAAGTGCAGAGAATGTCCGTTCACCTGCAACGGCCGCTAGGACCACAGGCCTTTGCTCAGTGGCAGATCAGGCTTCTGGCCTTAAAACCAGAACCCCTTAAGAAAGGGGAGCAGACCGTGAGCATCATGAGACCCCAGGAACTGTGGCGAGGACGCGGCGGGGCTTTCCTGGCTGGGCTGCCCCGGGGCCCCGCAGGGCTTGGCAGCTACATATTGAAAGAACCAAGGTGTGGAGAGGTCAGACCGTGAGGAGGGGCTGGGAGGGACAGCCGAGAAAACTGTCCCTGAAGCAAGGCAGCCAGCACTTTGGAAGAGCGGTGGGTTCTTGTGTTAGGGCGCATGCTGCCGTGGGCATGGCCATGCAGNACCCCCAGCAACTGCGGCGAGGACGCGGCTGGGCTTTCCTGGCTGGGCTGCCCCGGGGCCCCGCAGGGCTTGGCAGCTACATGTTGAAAGAACCAAGTGTGGAGAGGTCAGACCGTGAAGAGGGGCTGAGAGGCACAGCTGAGAAAACTGTCCCTGAAGCAAGGCAGCCAGCACTTTGGAAGAGCGGTGGGTTCTTGTGTTAGGGCGCATGCTGCCGTGGGCATGGCCATGCAGCTCCAGGTGACGTGCATGTGGGTGACGGGCCCTCCCTGCCTCACGCAGGCGGCCAGCAAGAGCCAGGTGGGCGCTGTGTCGGGTGGGGCTGGTGCTGCGTCGCACAGGCGGAGGCTCCGGGGAGGGCGGGTGGGCACACAGAGGGCTGTCCTGCTGTTGGGGCTGCTCTGAGAGTCTAGAGCAGGGGACACTCCTGGCTGAGGGATTGGGGACAGGGGAGACAATCTTCCAGCTGGAAGAAAATAACTAGATGTGGAATTTGGATGCTTTTCAAGAGGTTTAGATAATGGATAAAAAAGGTCTCGTCTAATTTTAGAATCAGCTGTAGTTACTAAGCTCCTCTGTGTATGGCTCGCCATTGAGCCCATGAGGAGGGTCACTAACGGCCCCCACCCCCAGGACTGATTGCACTGGTCTGGGCTGGTGTCCCCCCAATACACACACGCACACACAAATGTACTTGTTAAAGTCCCCTGGAGACCCTGATGGGCAGTGCAGGTTGTCATAGCTGAGAGTCTGATGGTCCCTCCTGGGGCGCAAATGGACTGCTTTGTCCAGTGAGGGCCAGAGAGGACACTCACATGACAGTCCCCGTGTTCACGGAGGGACAGACGCGTGCCGACGTGGTGTTGCCCGGAGGCCCTTCTGCCCTCTGAGGAAGACGCAGCCGCTGTCTGGGAAGGCATGTGTGCTGAGCCCAGGTGGGCGGTTCAAAGCTCCCTTATCCTTGGTCCTCAGACCCTCCCGCCCTGTTTCTAGAAACAGACTTTCCTCTTTCATTTTGGAGACAGAGGCGTTTGGGGGTTCGTCACTGCCAGGAGGGCAGCCGTAGCCGCACGGGCCCCCCTTGCAGCAGTGAGCCCGAGCGGCCTGTGCCCACGAGGAGGGGTGTGGAGTGTGGTGCAGGTGCAGGGGGAGGAAAGCCTGGTGTGAGTGTGGCACACCCTCGGAGCTGAGAGGGGAGGACACGGCGAGGCTGTCCCCAGGGCCCACATGTCCCCCAGCACTGAGCTGAGGACATGGCTGCCCGACAGCCCGGCAGGGTGGGGGGCACCTAGGAATTGGGGTACCGGGTGGGCTGTGAGTCCAGGTGGGACTAGCGTGGCCTCGGCAGGTGGGCATGCACGCAGGTCTCCTGCCCCCACCCCGTGTGCGTCTGCCCCTCTGAGAGCTCCCTGTGGTGATGGGGGCTCTGTCCCACACAGCTGCCTGGGGCACGGGTGCCTGGCCTCGGCTCGGGAAGACATAAGTGGCCAGGTTCACCCACCGTTGCCCACCTCCAGCCCCCAGGCCCCTTCTCTGACGTGGTGGGGTGACCACTGAGTGCAGAAGTTTCTGGAAGTGTCTGGGACCGTGGGTGTGTGCTGAGCTGTGCCGGGCACCTGGTGAGCGCTCCGGCGGTGGGGCTCCGGCCACCACTGTTGATCCATTGCTTGTCTCACACCCTCACGCAGCCTTAGGACAGGCTCTTACCAAAGCGCGGGGGAGACCAGACCTCAGGGGGATGGGCCGTCCCGCGACGCCAGCAGGCTCTGGCTGTGCAGTGTGTGACACATGCCTCTCCCTGCAGGGATCTACTGCTGCGGCCTGCTCAGCGCCAGGAAGAGCGACTGCACTGGCCTCCCGCCCTCCATGCTGGCCAACCCGGCCACGGCCCCCGCCCGCGGCCAGTCCCAGATCAAGGTGAAAGGGACCATGTCTCTGATCTGCTGGTACAACAAAGGACACTTCCGCTTCCTGACCAACGCCTACTCCCCGGTGCAGCAAGGTGGGTGCAGACCCCGGGCTGGGGCNGCTGCCTGGGGCACGGGTGCCTGGCCTCGGCTCGGGAAGACATAAGTGGCCAGGTTCACCCGCCGTTGCCCACCTCCAGCCCCCAGGCCCCTTCTCTGACGTGGTGGGGTGACCACTGAGCGCAGAAGTTTCTGGAAGTGTCTGGGACCGTGGGTGTGTGCTGAGCTGTGCCGGGCACCTGGTGAGCGCTCCGGCGGTGGGGCTCCGGCCACCACTGTTGATCCATTGCTTGTCTCACACCCTCACGCAGCCTTAGGACAGGCTCTTACCAAAGCGCGGGGGAGACCAGACCTCAGGGGGATGGGCCGCCCCGCGATGCCAGCAGGCTCTGGCTGTGCAGTGTGTGACACATGCCTCTCCCTGCAGGGATCTACTGCTGCGGCCTGCTCAGCGCCAGGAAGAGCGACTGCACCGGCCTCCCGCCCTCCATGCTGGCCAACCCGGCCACGGCCCCCGCCCGCGGCCAGTCCCAGATCAAGGTGAAAGGGACCATGTCTCTGATCTGCTGGTACAACAAAGGACACTTCCGCTTCCTGACCAACGCCTACTCCCCGGTGCAGCAAGGTGGGTGCAGACCCCGGGCTGGGGCTGTGGGCCTGAGCAGCACATGTGCCAGCTGGATCGATGCTGGGGTGTTGGGCCGGGCTGCTGTGCGGTGGGCCGGGCCTGGGGCCACGTCGGTACCATGAGTGACGAGCCCCCCAAGGCAAGAGCAGCCGTGTCCGCCAGCCTTGCTGTGCTCGGTGTGACAATTGGCTGCATCTGAAGCCTTTACACAATTGCTTTGTCACCGGGGATTCTGTGAAAACTCCGCTCTGTGAGAGGCACACCTCAGCCCTTATCTTCCCACGTCTGCCCTTAAGCTTCTGCTTGTCCGGTTTGTCACATGCTCTGCTGACTTCTTCGCTAATTTTCCTTGGGATTTAAAGTCCATTCGTTACAAAGGGACTCATTTAGCAAGGAGTTCATATTTAAAGTTGCCTACAGTAGAAAAATATATATATATTAAACTGCTGAAAAGAAAATTGAAAAACAAAGGCACTTTACAAAAGTCAGCAGGTGCGTAGCGCATATGCGCCACCCCCACACTCCTGCGCACGAAGGGATCTCTCTTCCTCACACTTGAAGGGACACTGCCAGAGAGCTCGGCTTGTGTGTGCGTGCGTGTGTGCGTGTGCATACGTATGTGTGTGTGTGTGTGTTGTGTGTGGTGTTTATGTTTGTGTGGTGTCATGCATGCCGTGTGTGCATATTTCTGGGGTATGGTATGTGCCTGCATGTGTCTGTGTATACATCATGTGTGCGCACGTGGTATGGTGTGTGTGCATGTGGTATGTGTGTGGTGTGTGTGGGCATGTGTACATATACATAATGTGTGCATGGTGTGGTGTGCACGTGGTGTACATGTGGACTGGCATGCATGTGGATGTTGTGTGTGTGCTGTGTGTGCACGTGTGTGTACGTACTGTGTGTGCACGTGGTGTGCATGTGGACTGGCATGCATGTGGATGTTGTGTGTGTGCTGTGTGTGCACGTGATGTGTGCACGTGTACGTACGTACTGTGCGTGCACGTGGTGTGCATGTGGACTGGCATGCATGTGGATGTTGTGTGTGTGCTGTGTGTGCACGTGATGTGTGCACGTGTGTGTACGTACTGTGTGTGCACGTGTACATCATGTGCTGTGTGTTGTGTGTGCGCTGTGCATATTTCTGCAGGGAGGTGTGTGCGTGCACGTTTAAAGTGTGGTGTGTGTTTGTTCCTGTCCTGCACCCCACGCCCAAGCTGCACAGCACTCAAGTGGCAATTGCAGTCACAGATCAAGCGGTGGTGTCCTCGCCCTGCTCAGGTCTAGAGGCTGCAGGAGGTGGGCGCTCCGAGTGCCGTGTCCCGGGCCACTGGAAGGGAGGTTGGCAGTGGCCTTGTGAGCTGATGACGAGGGTTTGGCTTGGACTCCTGGACACTAGTGGTTAGGGCCTCAGTGTGGGGCAGGGGAATTTTCAGGGGGCGCATTTGGGAGTCAGGGCAGGAGCTGCTTCCCACCAAATTATCTTAAATGATGGCTTCTGAAAGGTCCCAAAGCAGGACATGGTGTCTAATGAGATGACAGAGAGAAACGTACGTCTGGGAGGTTAGAGGGAAGCATGGAAGAGGATTGAAGACGACAGATCTTAACGTCCCAGTCTGAGAGTTGGTCCCTTAAATCACACACCAAGGGAACAAGTTTGGAGGGTACTGATGGGGAGTGAGAGGAAGCCGGTAGGGTCGATTATTAAATCTGCTGAAATGTAGAGTTTATTGCATGTACTTTGGTTGCAATTTCTGGTTCTCAAGTATTCTAGTTTATGTCACAAAGTCTCGAATCCTAGACCCCCTTAAAAATCCCAAGGAGCGAGGCTGCAGACCAACTCCCTGCCGCCGACCCCAGGTGAGAGGTGCACGCCCACTGAGCGCCTCAGGTGAGCGCCTCAGGTGAGCCAGGCCTGGGTGCGGGGCATGAGGCAGGAACCCGCCGGGGAAGGTGAGGTCCCGGGTGGAGGCTGAGGCTGGGGGCGGCCACCGCTCCCCTGGACGCCCTGTGCTGGTTCACGTCTAGAGATCTTCTTTGGCTAATGAAGAGAGATGGTTTTCTTTTCCGTGTACTTCAAAAACATGATTTTAAAACTCCCCCAGCACCCCCTCTTTTGGACGTGCCCGAGTTTCTGCACCTGCACCCCTGCTGGTGACCCGTTTCTCACGAGGTGCATTCACGGCGTAGTGAAAGTCTCCTGCGCACGTCTCTGGGGGCGTCTTTCGTCACTTTCTCAAGGGAAATCTGAACTTGGAAGTGCTGGTCACAGGGCAGGAACGTTTCTGAGGTTTTCGATGACACGTCATCACGGCTGTGCTTACGTTGCGAGGGGTGACAAGGGGACTCACGTTCTTCCAGCTTTACCAATGCTGCTTTTTTCTTTTGTAAATTTGTCAGCCTCACAGGTGAGAATGCTACAAAATTTGGAATATAAATTGCTACGACAGCTGGTGAGGTTGGACGTCCATCTCTTCATGTGTTTATGGGCTAATTTTCAGTGGTTTCTTACGCTTTTCAATTTCACTTTGAGGCGTTCATCTTTTTCTCATTAACTTGAAAGCACATTTTCTGCCTATGGCAATTTTTTTTCCCATGTGTCGTCTCCTTTTGTTTTGACTCTAGATGAGTAATTTTTCAGCATAAACAAGGTTTTCATTTCTACACAGGCACGTCCGTTGATCACGTTCTCTGCTCTTGTGCTTTGAAAGTCTCTCCTCCGTCCCAAGGCAGCTAAGTCCAAGTTCACCGGTTTGTCTTACAGGAGGATTTTGTGCTCTTTCCCGTAATCCACTTCAGGCCTGCGGGCGTGTGGCATCAAGTGGGCCTCGGCTGTTTGTTTGTCATTGTTAAGTGGCAGCGGTTGGCTGACCGAGCAGCCACATCTCTGCGCCTGCACCGCGTATGGACTGGTTCAGCTTTTCCCTGCTTATTTTCAGCGTCACCCAGATGATAAACAAAAGCCTCGTGTATCCTGAAGAGCGCTTCTCAGCTTTTCTTATAGTCTGTTCTGCTGTGGCCATATATTCTCTCCTTCCAGTTTTACAACATACATAACTAGGTCTGAACATTATAGGAACTGCCTTATCCTTCTTTAGCCCTTATGATAAGGACACGTGAACCTCCTTTCACAGAGTGCGAGCCTGTGCACAGGCTTTTTAAAGGTTAAATGTTGTCACATGGCAAGGGACACCCGTATGGAGACCCAAACCCGTTTGCTTTTCTTCTGAAATCCTTTTTGGAGAAGATTCAGACTCACCAGGACTCATGAGAAGGCAGAACGTCTGCACGTGAGCACGAGGGGTCTCGACTCATGCATTCAAGCGTGCAGACTGGTGGTAAGAACGTCGGCCCAGCCACTAGATGCCAGCAAGACAGCAGACAGAGCTGGAGTGGGAAGATACGGGCTCCCCTGACAGGCCCCACAGATCTGAGAGAGACAGACATGGAGAGGACAGGCACGTGGCCATGACGTGCAGTGTCTAGCAGTGGACCTGCGGACCGTGCGCACGTCCTTCTGTTACAAAGTCAGACTAGATGACAAACGTCCAAAACCTTTTGTTAATGAATGTTCAAAGCTCAGCGAGGATGTTACAGGATCCTTTTCTAGCTGGAAAAGTATCTCAAAACCCAAAATACGGTGGGAGGAGAGTGATCTGGCTTAAGGACTGGGGGAAACACTCACAGAGACAGATGCAGATTGGGTTTGGAGGCAGCTCAGTAGGATGTCCAGCTGGAATCCCCACGTTAGATGACAGATTATGAAAAAGGGTGGGAAGGAGACCCAGAGTTAAAGAAGGTCCCCCGGGCTAGGGACACTGGGACAGTGGCAGTCCTGGAGCCCTTGCTGTGGTCAGCCTGAAGCCAGCAGGTCAGAGCTGCAAACTGTGGGGTGCTGAGGTCCTAGGGGGGTGAGCCTAACTCACTGGAAACACTCAGGGCTTAGGAAGGGCAGCATCCTGAGGCTCTGGGGGAGGAACCGAGGGGCTTCTGTCTCCCTCTGGGGACAGTCTGACCTGCTCGTGTCCACGTGGACTTGGTGGAACCCTACAGGGGCCAGAGCCTCTTCAGACCCAGAGGCTGCAACTGAAAGTCAGGAGGAGACAGCTGCAGACGGGAAGCCCACTAAGGCTGTGTGCCCACGTCCTTGTGAAACACGGCGCCTCCCGCCTGGTCTTGGGGTGGCGGGGGTGGCTGAGATAAGGGACTGGAATCTTCAGGGAGGGACTGGAAAGATGGTCCTCCAGGACAGGCCTCCCCAGATCCCCCACGATAAAACATCTCCCTGAGGGGACAGAGGACCCACCAGCGCATGGAGTCCAGCACCTTCTGGCTGGCAGGAAGCCCCCAGTCCAGTGCGGGGTCCTCTGGCCTAAGGAGAGCTTTGGGAAAAGCACTGCCACCTCTCCAGGGAGAGCCCTGCCCTCTGAGCCTCTCGCAGCTCTCCAGGTGTTCCTTCAGAAATGCCGCTGTTTCTGGGGGCAAAAAAGAAAGATCCCAGCTCAGTCTGTGCAGGTGGGTCTGCGTGACCCTCGTGAGTCTGGGGTGGGAGGGGCCGGGAAGGACATGGCAGTTCTGCTATGACCTTGTCCATCCGAGTATTGCTAAGATTTCTCCGTCCTGTGGAGTAACCTCAGGGGGCTGTGGGGAGGCTGGTCGGGGAGGTGGGGGTGAACCCCGCCACGCTGGGACATTGGTCCGCTTCGTCCGTGGGGGCACCAGGCACACTGGTCCTCTCTGCCCCTCGGGCCCTGCCACTGGGGATTGCAAGTCTTCTTGTGACTTTGGCAGTGGCCTGAGATGCGGTCCCGTCTGTATTTAGTAGAGGAAGTTCTCTGTCCCTGCAGGCACAGGGCCCGGCAGTCCTAGGACACGTAAGGGGCTGAGTGGGGGTGGGGACAGCCTCTGTTCTGAGCCTCCCTGTGACCGGAGCAGGCAGCGGTGGCCCCACGACCCCAGCCTGGCAGGAGGAGGAACAGGGCAGAGGGGGATAAGCCCCCATCTCCCCTTCTGCTCTCAAGGCACAGGTGGGGTCGGCCCTGCCCCGTGTCGCTGAGAGCCGCCCTGAGCCCGTCGATGGCCTGTGGCTTGGGGAGGGTCTCGCTCGTGGCACACGCCTGTGCCTCGCTGACTTGGACGTGTTCCTCCACCCCTGGAAGAGCCTGGTGGCCGGTGAGGGGGGTCTTCTTCATTGCTGGATGGAGAGGGGCCTCTGGGGGGGTTGCAGGAGGGCTCAGGAGGGATCTGCCTTCTGTCTTCCCCGCAGGCGTCATCATCAAGAGGAGGAGCGGGGAGATCCCCTGCCCCCTGGCCGTGGAGGCGTTTGCCGCACACCTCAGCTACATCTGCAGATACGACGACAAGTACAGCAGGTAAGGGACAGAGGGCCACCCGCACAGGGACACCTGCACAGGGACATCCACAGAAGGACACCCGCACAGGGACACCCACAGAGGGCCACCAGCACAGGGACACCACACAGGAACACCTGCACAGACCCACACACAGGGACATCCACAGAAGGACATCTGCACAGACCCACCACACAGGGACACCTGCACAGACCCACATACAGGGACATCCACAGAGGACAGGGCCACCTGCACAAGGCCCAAGGCTGCCCTGTCACAGGATGGGCAAGTCAGGATAGTTATAAATTCCCCTGACTAAAGGACTGGAGGGTGAGGACCCTGTCTGCCCCCTTGCCTGGCGCCCCTGCCCACCTCCCACTGTCCACAAGGTCTCTGTTCTGTTTGCCCAAAGGTGCTGGTGCCTCCACTGACCCACACTGAGCTGTCTCTGCAGTGGGTCGGTCCCTGTCCCCGTGCCCGCCCTGCTGTCCTCGCAAACACCCCGCACACCAGGCATTAACCCAGGGAGTTCACCTGACACGTGTGTCCCTTAGCTCAGGGGTGGCTCATGTGAATGTCCACACAGCAGGCACAGCACACCCACACTCACTATAGACAGTGTGTGCCTGTACAGCGTTCGCAGACGCGCACACACCCACGATGCTGTCCCCTGGCTGGCTGTCGTAGTAGCCGTGAGGAGAACTCACGAATGACTGCTGCTGAACACAAGCGTGACTGTTGCGTCACCAGGATTGGGCCTTGCCACCTAGAGCAGGGTCAGACTGACCCGAAAGGCAACCGGACGCTTGCTCACCCTCTGGGAGGGTGACCCACATCTGTGGCCTTGTCATGGCGAGCAGAGAAAACGAGGACTGGTTCTCTGTGGAAAAGCCAGCCGACATGTGGAGGGCAGCCCCACCCCTTAGGGAGCTGTTGGACAGGTCTGTCTTGAGCACCTACTGTGTGCCAGCACCTTGCTGAGTTCTGGGAGGTTGTCACAGACAGATCAGCATTTGCTCAGTAGACAGCAGTGGGTGCCTGCCCTGTGCTGGGCATTTCAGTGGCACTGCGGGTGCTAATCCTCACATTCCTCACAGTCAGGGGCAGACACAGGTGCGCAGCTGGACAGACTCACAGCACAGTGTGTGGGTCCCCAGACGGGGTGGCCCGGGGGTGGCAGCATCTGGGGGCCAGTCTCAGGGTCCGGGCAGGTGTCAGGGGCAGACACAGGTGCGCAGCTGGACAGACTCACAGCACAGTGTGTGGGTCCCCAGATGGGGTGGCCCGGGGGTGGCAGCATCTGGGGGCCAGTCTCAGGGTCCGGGCAGGCTCCCCTGGGGTGGCAGATGCGCTCGGGAGCAAAGAGCATCGCAGGGGCCTGGAGCTGAGGAGGAGGCGGCCTTTGCGGGGGAAGCAGCTCTTAGTCTGGGACGCGTTTAGCATTGGGGCTGTGGGCCGTGCACCCCGGGGCCTGTGAGCTGCACCTGCAACACCTGGCATTCCGCATCTCCCCTGGCAGCCCGGCCATCCCCCCGGTCCTTCCACGGGCATCATTTTTATTTTCGTTGTCTTAAGTGAAGTTCGTGCGACCAAGCCCCCAGCTGGAGCCCCCCAGCCCTGCCGCGTCTCTCCTGGGGGCCTGTGAGCCCTCGGGGTCAGCCGATCCTCCCTCTGTCCTCAGGTACTTTATTTCTCACAAGCCAAACAAGACCTGGCAGCAGGTGTTCTGGTTCGCCGTCAGCATCGCCATCAACAATGCCTACGTCCTGTACAAGATGTCGGACGCCTACCACGTGAGCCGGTACAGCCGGGCGCAGTTTGGGGACAGACTCGTCAGGGAGCTGCTGGGCCTGGAGGACACCTCAGCCACCCTCTGATGCTGGGGACCAGGTCGAGGGAGGGTGGGAGGCAGAGGACAGCCTGCATGCCCCCCAACCAGCCCTGTCCAAGACCCAGGACGCCCTGGTGGGGGACTTGCCGCCTGGGACAAGGATGTGGGCAGAGGGTGGCAGCTGTCCCGGTTTCCATGGAGAGAAGAACATGGCTCCCCATGTCACGAGTGCTCTGGGACATTCCATCCTTGAGACACCTGCGGAGCCTCTCAGCGATGCCAAGACTGGAAAGCAGCCGTGGCAGGAGGAGAGAGAGACCACGGTCAAGTTCACGGCGGGGAAGCAGCCACCACCGGCTCTGCATGGCTGGGACGGTCGGTGTGTGCGGAGGCCAGAGGGTTTTCCAGCATGTTCGAGTAGCTTAGCACGGGTCTCTTAGCGTAAGAGACACAGCCTGGTTGCCATTAAAATGCAGGGAAGGTGTTCATTCATCCTGCTCTGACTAATAGAAGAGGCGCCCCGTGCGTTTCCTCTGCGGGGCTGGGGGCAGGGACAGAGGGAGACACCAGGGGAATCACAGCGAAGGGGGACGCTGTTTTTTTATTTTAAATATATCTTCAGGTTATTTTCTTACTGTTGCTTATGGTCTCACACAACAGGCAGATGTGCCCTTGTCCCCCCGGGGCTTCTTGCATGATCCCAGTTCTGTGCCCTGTGCCGTGGGGGGGCTGGGAAGGGCGGCCAGGGCACACACAGCTGCCTCCACCAGGGCCACGGGGAACCGACGGGCACCTTGTCACAGACGTCATCACTGGCAGACTTACTTGTTTTGGAAAACGTGTAGCATTGCCAAAACAAACAGCACAGTTCCCCACAGTGACCACTTGCTAACTGCCTTGCTCCTGGGCACAGTGACCCTGGCAGCATCCTGCCATCCTGAGTGATCCTGCAGCCCCGGGCAAACTGGCTGCGGGGCTGTGGTCACAGCCTGGGTTGGGTGTGGTGTGACACGGGGCTGGGACATGCTCACTACAGGACTGAGGACACCGTGTGACCAGCAGCTGGCAGCGAGCCGGGGCTCTATTTATCTCCCAAGACACCTGGGGATCCTTCAGACCCAGGTTGACATGTCTCGACAGGAAGCCTCAGCACCAGGGTGGTCGACAGGTCTGACACTCCCCGCAGACAAGAAACAAGTCATTTCTGGAGTCACCAGCCCTTCTTTAACCCAACTTATGTAACCACCTCATTTCTACAACTGCGGAATCTATTCGACTCAGGCTTTGGGACTTTTCCTTGTTTAGACCCCGTTAATTAAAGTGTCGCTGGCAGCATGCTCCTGAAATACCATTGTCTCTCCGTCGTTCTCAGCGACGACCCTTGCCCTGTGGGTTTAATTCCATGCCACGGACTATAGGCCAAACTTTAGATCGTGTTTCACAACACCTTTGCCGTGCCCTTGGATTGGATCGAAAGCACTTTTACCACGTGGAGAAATATATTTTTAATTTGTGATGCTTTTCTACGAGGTCCACTATTTCTGAGTTTAATGTGTTTCCAACACTTAGGGAGACTTTAATGAAAGCCGACGAATTTTCTTTTCTGTCCAAACAAGTAAAATAAAAATAAAAAGTCTATTTAGATGTTGGTTCTTTGTTCAGATGTGAATTTGTTTAAAAGGTCAGGGACGGGGCCAGCCTGGTGGCGCACAGGAGAGTGCGCCGATTGGGAGCAGTTCTTTGTTCAGATGTGAATTTGTTTAAAAGGTCAGGGACGGGGCCAGCCTGGTGGCGCACTGGAGAGTGCGCCGATTGGGAGCACGGAGGCGCTCCCGCCAAGGGTTCGGATCCCATGTGGAGACTGGTTCCCGCTCACTGGCTGAGCGCGGTGCAGGTGCAACACCGAGGGTTGCAAAACTGTTGCCGGTCCCCAGTACGGGCGCGACACTGAGGGTTGCGATCCCGTTACCGGTCAGTA